CTTAGTCCCTTTTCATTCTCTGTAACCCTGCTGCCATACAATGCAGAAAGATTGTTGGTATCTAGTGAACCTATACATCTGTCTTAGATAACCATTGATACTAATATTATTGTTGTTAATGTCTATATTTTACAGTGGGGGGACAGAACAGCATACAGGACCGATCAGGGTATTTTCAATTACCCAACTAAAACATATCCATATTCTAATAACTAAAGCCCACTAAATTGTTCTAATAAAGCCACCTAAAAGAAACTTGGCATAGCCGAGGCACCCTGCACCTTGCTCTCTGGAAAGATGAAAACTGCTCAAGTCACTTTAGCTCCCTCTTTTTGCTCCTGCATATGGCTGCATTAAAACAAATATTTTTAAGCAGTGCTAGAAGCTACTGCCAAGGATGAAACAGAGGCCACTCATTTATGAAGAGCTGTCTCAGTTTACAGTAGATATTTCTGACATTCTTGTTAATGTTCAGAAGTTGTTTACTTCATAGCCCACTAATTGAATTAGCCGCTGTTTTAGCTCTTTAAGCTCTATTCTGTGAATAAAACCGATTCAGAGAAACAGTTTAAGCATGTTCCAGTATAGCTACCACACAGAGTCAATTGCACACATTAATCTTTAATTAACAGCATGAGAGGAACTATAATCTAGAAGCTAGAGTACTGGACTAGCTACAAAAAGCTTTCATTCTAATCACAGATCAGCCACTGATTTGCTATGCGCCTCCCACCAGGGAGGGAAAAGAAATACTCCTCTAAGCTCTCATTTTCCTTTTTACCTTTTGCCTGCCTTACCTATTTATTTTTGCAGTAGTTGTAGCAGGAGCACTCTCTACATGTGCAAAACCCCACAATGGCTCTGTAGCATTGGTTGAGCAGCCCAACTGCTAATTGCAATTACCAGCAATATCAGCATCATCCGACCTATCTCAAGACAGTTTTAGATCTTTGGTGTTTCTGTAACACTTTCAGAAACCTCACAGATAAACAAAGAGAGCGAGCCCGTGGCAAGGAATAATAAAAAGCACAAAAATAATTTCCAACAAAAACCTTATAACCCATCTTTGAGCAATCTCACTCACTCCCACGATTGCTATGCAATCCTCAGGTTGATGACATAATGAACCTGTTGTTGACTTTTTTCCAGACATCCAACTTTACATCTTGGCTAGCCTCTCCAAAATGGATATTCCCCAGTAAAAGACAACATGGTACAGCCAAAACAAAGCTTATGCTTCTCCTTCCATTAAGCCCTGTCACCTCCCTTTCAAGCAGCCTTAAATTAGTACTCATTCTTGTCTCTCCTGCATTCCCCAGATCTAAGCTGTGCCAAATCTTGCTGTTTGCAACCACAGCATCTCTAGAATCTATTCTGATAGTGAAAGTGATAATGAAGGTTCTTTTTCTCATCCTTATCTCTAACTTTCTCAGACTCCCCCATGCTAATATGTTCTTCCTCACACAAAATACTACCACCACCATTAGGCTCCTATTCTTGCCATTATGGGACATGTACCTTTGTTTCTCTAGACAGGTTCCTCGCTCGGTCACCATTTGCAAACCGAAAAGGCAAATATATTCTATTTAGAGTGATTTTGCATAACACACCCTATCCAACTGCCTCAGCTTTTATCTCCCCTTTGTCATCAGAAAAGTTTGTTCTCTTTGTTCCAGATGCACCAATTTCTGAATACACATAACCACTTACTCAAACACATGGCTGGAAAAGCACATGATCTTTGTGGCCCTTTCCCAGCTGGTTTTGCTGCCCCCCAGAAACCCCTCAAAAAATTCCCTTTCCTTCCACCAACTGAGAGGCAGGACTGCACAGCTCAGTAGAAGGGCTGACGTTAAAGCAGAGCAGTTCCCTAGCTCTCAAGGAGTGTCTTATCACCCTCCGTCTGCATACCAGGACAACAAAAACCTCTACTTGTCATGCAACCAGCTTCCCCCGGGCTTGTCTCTGCATTCAGATATTTGGCTCTCCTTCCCCATGGTAGATAAAACACTCCCCAGAGGCAAAACTTCTTAGTAAGCACTCATCCCTTTGATCTCAGAAGCAGCTGGTGCACAGCTGCTCCCCGTTACTTCTGCAGCTCTCAGGAACCTTTTGGATTTTCCTGTCCCCCCTCACAGGCAGGCACAAAGGGGAAGAACACCACTAGCAGCCATCTTTCATTCTCATGCGCCCTGCCCAATTCTTCCTTGAATTACTGCCCACCTGGCCCAGTCCCAGCTCTTCCCTCCTAACCTGTTCCCCAAGCACGTGAGCAATGCCTTCCTGTTCCTTTTCTCAGCAAGAGTCTCCCGGGGAGACAAGAGTACTCCATCTGTCCTTACAGATGGTGGGGAACAGGCTGCTGTCCCTCATCCCAGGAAAACCTTCCCTCAGCTCACAGTTGTTTGCAGGCAGTAAGAAAAAAGTCAATTCCGTCCCCCAGTTTCTCTTCTGTGCAACTACAAAGCCTAGCAAGTGCAGGAAAGCCTGCTTCCTCAGAGGCAGGCGCACCATTGGACCTTGCTAAGAAAGCATGGCTGTGGTTAATGCAGTATCATCTCACAGAGTCTACGAGTAGACCAATTGCAGTGACCATTAACAGAACAAGGTTTCCAACAATACTTTGTAAAGGTTTAAAGAAACCAGAGAAAAGCCAGAAACCAACTCAGCATCTCAAGTAAGTTGCAAGATCCAGAGACAGGATTTTAATCCCTTCCTTAGCTGGAAAATCCATTTGAAACAACCACCAGAAGACAACTAGGGATTGTAGGAAGCAGCATAGTCAAATGACTCTGCCTGTAACACTAAGCTTTGAGAAATATTTACAGTCTCTTGCCTACGTAGCTAGGAGGCAAAGGGAACTGCTCACCAACCTGATGAGAGTTCCCTAGATATCCATAAAAGATTAACCTTAATACTCACATGCTGAGAACTGATAGAGCTCAAAGACCTGCCTCTCAGCTTGCCTTCCAGAACAGTCTCAGAGTACCCATCAGCACTTAATTCTGCATCAGCTGCTTCCTCAACGATCCCAAGGTCCTCTGCAACCAGGTGACAATTAGAAAAATCATTTCACCTGGTCCTACTGCTGCCACCATTTCAGAGCCAAGGCCAAAAGCTGCTGCACTCCTGCTACGAGTATTACAAAGCATATGCATAAGACTTCATTCTCTCAGTTAATAAAGGAAACAAACCCACCCATACAAGATTCTTACTTGTGGATGGCAGTTGGTTTCTTTTCAAAGCAGCACACATACTGTGGGGGAAAAAGTTAGGTTAACTAGAACCTGACAGACAGATGAGCACGTTCGCTGCAGCAGCTACGAACTTCATCCAACTTTTCATAAAGATTTAAGATTTTTAACTTTGTATTAGAACTTTTGCTGCAGGTGTAACTTCCAGGAAAAGCCCAGGCTTTTGAGACCTTCTGATCAAGGGGAAAAAGGAAGACACTTCGGGTTGCCATTCTCTTTTGTGAAAGTTGACACATGGCATAATCCCTCAACAGACACTTTCAAAAGCAGGCTTTAGCCAACAACTGAAGCCGTTGCACTGATGCTTAGTAATGAAACAATGTTTGAGCCAGCCACATTAAATATTTACTAGTCAAGTGTCAAGCCAAGAACTTTCCCAGACTCTTGTCCATTCATTTGTGATTGTGTGAGTCTATGTCTGTACCTGTGACAAGGTGCACTTCTGCTCCTGGTAACCTACTAGAACTATCTGATAACCTACTAGAAATATGGCAGGATAATTTTGAACAACGATTTAATGATTTAGAAAACTGTAGGCCAATTTATCAGAGTTGTGTTTGTGAAATGTGTAACAAAATTTGAGCAAAAGGGGTTTAGTGGAGGTGTATGACAAACAAATACCATCCAGTAAACCATCCTGGATGTTTCTCCTCATTGAAAAAAAAACAATAAACAGATAAAAAAGAAAGCTCAACTGCTTCCCATAGGCTTTCTGCTTTACTGTGCCACTCACCCGGACAAGAGATCTTGATGTTTCCACTGCAGCTATGCACTAACTTCCACTACCAATCTCTTGCTCCATCCAGTGAATAACTTCCATTTTAGCACTGCACTGGTACTTTAATGATACACACCCATTCCATGAAACAACAAATAACGCCCATCCTCCCTCCCCCACCAAACCACCATCCAACCTTTCATGGATTTCAAAAGGAGTTAACCTGGATTCTTTATAGCTGCCTATGCTCTCAGCATTACTGCTTGTTGTTAACAAAACCTGTTTCACTTCAACTGCATTGTTTGAGGGTATGTCCACAGCGTTCTTCCCAGAAACACGTCTGCAATAATGCGGCTGTGAAATCTTAGCTTCATGAGTTGTCCTGTAAGCAAGAACCACAAGCTACTTTTAAAAGTAGATATTTGGTTGGGGTGTGAGTGTGTGTGGAGGTCAATTAAGAAAGCAAGCAGCAGTCTTTTGCATCACTGTTAAAAATCAACTTCTTTCCGATAAGCAACTATGATTTGCAAAATCCAAAAAGCAGGTCAGTAAGCCTTTACTTTTTCCATGTTCAATGGATGCTCCCCCTATTGTCACATACCTCTTTATCCTCACCTTTTTTCTCCTCCTCCCTACCAAAAGGGAGAGCACATATCCCTTTTTTTTTTCCCCCTCAATTTGCCAGCACGTAGGCTGAAATGTCTTAAACATGAATTTAAGGTTTTACAGATCCTTAATGTAAAGAAAACACTAAATCCCAAACTAAGCTTTCCTCCCAAATATTTTAGCTAGCAATCTGTAGAGCTAACTTTCAAATTCCAAAATTACTCCTGGATAAAAGGAAACCACCTACAGTCAATTCCTGAAAACTTAAACTCTCAGAAACATATCTTTTTCTTAAAGCTACAATTGTGAAGTCTTTCAGAAGGCACTGTATGACAGTGAAGAAACAAAAATCCATTCTCTCCATTATAGGTCATCCTTTAAGGGCTATAAATAATGGAAAAACATATACAGCCTCTTAGTACTCATCTAATTACTTTTATAAAAACTATCTTATTGGGTTTCTATACAGTAACATGGGATTATTAGAAAACTTCTTCTGTAAACACAGCTTTATGGAGGACAATCATCATTAGTTCCTACAGCCATTTGAAGCCAGTAGTCCAAATTTCTAAAAATGACAAAGTTGTACAAGTTCTCTCCTCCCTTGTGGAAACCATGTTCACTTTCTCTCCAGGAAACAGGGCTGTCTGCAAAGCCATGCACAGTTAAGGTCAGCCAATATGCCAGTTTTGGTTCGCCAAAATAGCAACTGCAAGGAAGAAGATAAAGTAATCAATATTTAAACCGGAATAGAAAGCATGTTCAAGCATACAATATAAAGTAAAAAAAAAAAAAAAAAAAATCAAAGACAGTCACATTAGTGAAAATTTGTACTTAACAGTTAAAAAACCTGCTTTAGAACATTTTATTTATTATGTACTATCAGAAGACATTAGGAAATGAAATAAGATTGACTCTTGATTATTCATACCATACTTTTAGACATGGCAAACCTACAAGTTATAGCAATTAGAAAAAGTTCTAATGTGTAAAATAGCTGTTCTGAATTTCCTACAGCATGCATAATCTTTTAGAAAACACAGTATTTACTGAGAACAGTTGCTATCAGGGCAAAAAAAGACATAGGAGGAAGAAACGTAGTCAGGCTTGCTTAACATAAATACTTTTACCACCAGAAAGGAAAAGGATTACAAATAATCAAAGCCAGTCACTATCCACTGTGCTTAAGTAGAGAATAAAAGCCAAGGAAATTTCTGTTCCAACCATAGCCTAAGGAGGCTTTCTTCATGAGATTTGAAAATTGCTCAAAGAGTAACGATCATATTCCAGATAAAGCAACAGCAATCTTGTCATGAGGAAGTCCTACAATCATTAGCCACCAGGCACTTCAAGAATTGTCTCACACATGGAGCAAGGAGCTTCCAGAATTTGCTATCGGTAGCACTAATATACAGTACAGGCAGATACCACTCTGATCTATGATACACTAGTATCACATGGTTTGATATTAAATTAGAACTACAGCTACCGCACTCATGTTACAACACTTGATTCAAAAAAACTCACTATAACTTATTGTAATGCCATAATAACCTGGAAGTACCTTGTGATACTCTTTTTGGTATCATAAAAGGTGTCAATCATATTTTCCATCAGTAGTTAAAAATACTAAATTAGACATATTTGAGGGCATCTGATTTTCATAGATGAGGAATGTGAAAAATGTAGAAGCTTAGTAGAGCCACTGTTTCTAAGAAATTAAGATTAAAAAAAAGCAAAGTCCTTACTAGAATATAGGACAGGCATTTTCAAATTTGAAGTATCCAAAATTGTTTATTGCTTTTTTATACTGATGGTAAGCTTCCAGCTCATTTCCTAATTAAAAAAAGTCCTCATTTTTTATATCTTCTATTTACCTCCAACAGCACTACTGAAAAGTACTATTTAAAAGTGATTTTGAAAATTAAAAAGTGTCAAGAGGACAAGTGTTTTAGCAATGTACTCCTGTAAGCCCTTACCACAGCTGCTCCAATAACTGAATTATCTTCTCAGGAATTATAAAGCCTGTTATTGTGCACAAAAAAGCTTTTTCCACTATTGTGTTGGGCTGAGGACAGCAATAGGTTGACAAGAAGCTAGATGATTTGTTGTCTCTAGAAAAAAAAAAGAAACAAAAAAACCCCAACTGAAATAAATATACTTTACATCATCTACATGAAGCCTTAGTAAACAAAACTTGTACCAAACAAGTAGGATCTATGTATATCATCTAAATTAATACCAAAGCAACTAATGGCCAAGCAATTAATACACAAGATATCATGGTGCTGTAGGTTAACCCTGGTGAGCATCTAAATACCACAGAGCTGCTCGCTCACTCACTCCTCCCTAGTGGGACAGAGGAAGAGAATCAGCAGGGTAAAAGTGAGAAAATACATGGGTTGAGATAAAGACAATTGAGTAAGTAAAGTAGAGTTGCACGTGAAAGCAAAGCAAACTAAGAAATTCATTTACTACTTCCCATCGGCAGGCAGATTTTTAGCCATCTCCAGCAAAGCAGGGCTTCATCATGTGTAACTATGACTTGGGAAGACAAATGCCATAATTCCAAATGTTTCCACCCTTCATCCCCCCAGCTTTTATTGCTGAGCACACAGCCATATAGTGTGGGATATCCCTCAGGGTCAGTGGGGGTCTGCTGTTGTGGCCATGTTCCCTCCCAGACTCTTGTGCACCCCCAGCCTACTCGCTGGCAGGGCAGTGTGAGCAGCAGCAAAGGCCTTAACACTGTGTAAACACTGCTCAACGATAACTAAAACATCCCTGTGTTATCAACACTGTTTTGGTCACAAATCCAAAACACAGCACCACACCAACTACTACAAAGAAAATTAACTGTATCCCAGCTGAAACCAGTACACATGGGTACCCCTAAAAACACTGATAAGTTATTCAAGACTTACAACAAACACTTAAGTGCATAACAGACTTCCCACTTACAGAAATATGTCCTTCTAAATTCTTATTTAACTCTTTCTTAAAATAAATTGTGGCTTTCCTTACTTAAAATGTATTTAAAGATCAAATAAATTCAAATACTTACAAGCCAACTTGATTCAAGACAGCACCTAGCCATTCAAATAGTTCCTCTGTACTGCAGGACTCATCTGGCTTTCCTTGTAGTTCATTACTTTGTAACACGGGACACTGCAAGTCCCTTAATGTGTTGAATGTTATTTTTGGCTTCAGGGCCTGTATTTGGTTTTTTGAAAAGTATGACATCAATGTTGATCCCTCTGCACCTTAACAATACAACACCACAAACAGCTGTTACAAAACTACTAAACAAAAGGAGCAATGAATACATGAAACCTTTGTATATGTATACAAGAAAATGCAGTGTGCAAAACTGCTTACATGCTGTTATCTTTGGCAAAAGCCATGGAATCTTCAGCTTATCTTCTTGGAAATAAAAATTAGTTAAAGATCCAGCAACTCAGCATAGCTCAGTAAATTTACTATTTAACTAGCAAGTATAGTTCTGTCAACAGAAAATTCGAGCCAAATTAACTGGGCAAGTAATAAAATGAACCCATTAGAAAGAGGAATTGACTGTTCCTGAAAAGGAACACATGAAAGGGAGCAGGAACATGTGTTAACTGCTCCCCAAGACAAAATGGTCTGCAAACACCCTCATACTGTAAGCACACCCATGCCTACATACATGAGGCCAGAGAACATTTTGCCTTATCAGTGCCCACATGTACATTCCCTTTGTGGTCATGCACAGGTACTCACTGCTGTAGAAGGACAATGCATGCCTTATACCATTAGGTCATCTCTAGCTCAGCATCTCCAGAAATTCCTGAGGCATTGCAGTTTGAGAGGGAGAATACATGTGGTAGGTGTACTCAAAGATAATCTCTAAGATCAGGTAAAGGGAACTAAGCTCAAATGAACTGAGGCGGTGTTCCCTCCAAAACCACTGCGTGTCTAGAGGGATCTGAGTATCACTAGAACATGAACAACTCCAATGGAATAAATTCCTGTAGATGTCAGGAATAAATGACACTACAGCTTTTTGCAAAATAAATTCTCCTGGAACACGCCTTCACAACTGCAGAAAGTTTCCCTTTTCGTTGTCCTAAAAGGCACTCCGTCTTCTACCCAGCATGTCAAGTTAGTGGATGTCTTAGGTCTCTCAGCGAAGGACAAGAACGTGTAAGAATCCTTCTGAGAGGTCTTATCCCATCACTAAAAACCACACACTTGTTTTCCTAGATGTGATGGTAAACAATTTAGGAGCCATAAGATTTTTGAGAAAAATTCTTGATTTACAGTAAATTCAGAAATCATCTACAGATAAGGTATATTTGGAAGGTGATATTATCCCAGAAAAATACCAGAATCAGTCATCAAGACTAGAGATCCTCCTACCCACCTGGCTAAAGTGTCTGCCATTCCAGAACACCATTTTCCCTAAATAGTGGAAAAGTGAGCAGGTGACTACAGGTTTGAGAACAGATTTATCAATGATGTCAAGAGGAATTCTAGGATAGTCTGAGGGGCAAAGAGTGAAGAGAGAGGGAAGGGAGGAGTATAGAGAAATCAAACTGTACCACAAATCTCACTTTACTAGGATCAGAGAAGGAAAAAAAAAACCAGTGCTAAGTCTTCAAACACAGTATGGCTGTAACAGTTAGATGTACCTTGATGGACTTGTGGGAAAAGCCACATTTCTTCAACTCCAGTAAGTGATCCAAAACAGCAGGTAAAACTCTAAAAACCTAAGCTAGACTAAAAACCCAACCTAACCTAACCAAGCATATTGCAAATTAAGAGATATTAACCAGCTTACTTCTTGAAGCAGTAAGATAATTGAATTGGAACCAATTCTCCTCAATTTTAAATTCCAGATAATGTATTCTATTTTCATAAAGTAACAATAGGTCTCTAGGAGACCAAGAAATAATACCTTATTCGTGAGAAGGCGGAAGTCCAGAATAGCATTAAATACCGCAGGAAAGGCATGTAAGAACAGAATAAACTCAAGAACAGGATAGAGTTCACTGCGGAATACAATATCCAAGACTTGCTATCAAAACTTACGGACTGCCTAAACTCCACCAGCCATATTTATCTAATCAAGGACAATCACATGGTGAAGTAGAAAAAGGAGTCGTACTTCAAATAAGGCTGTCTGAGTACTGAAGGGTATAGTGACAAAGACAGGCAGCCACTGAATTCTTAATAATTTAGTATCTTTATAGAGATATATTTAAGACTGAAGTATGCTAGAATGGATGATCTTCCTTTTGGCATTTGTTAGACCAATAGGTTCAAAGAATGTGTAATATTGCCCAAGAATTCTTAGTCAACTATTAAAAAAAAACCATTTTAAACGTTCATTCCATGTGGGAGCCTCAGCTATAGTCCTAACTTCAAGAAATCTCAAAGACTACAGTCAAGACTCCAACAGAACAATTCCTCTAGCTACAGCATAGCTTTCCATGTCAACTACCAGGTACACTGTCAAAGTTTTTTTGGAGGCCAGTGAATTTCAGCCAATAAACATTTTAAATTGTCATAGAAATTACAACAAGAGAAAAGAGAAGAAAAGGTTGGCTTGCCTCTGTCATTAAAGACATGAGACACTCCACATTCCCTTTTTCCTTTACTCTTGGTGCCAGAACCACTAAGTAAGAAAAACAGGTATGAAAACAAAAAAAAAAAAAAATCTTGCTTCTGGAAAGTGAGATAAATGTTTATAGGTTTGCAGCAGTGCTGGTCATAGCAAGAAACACCAGTTATCAGCAGGAGGGCTGAAAGCAGAATGTTCGAGGACATGGATTCTCTCAACAAAATACATCCCTCTTTTTCCCCTTCCAGCAGAATCTACACGATGCCTCATGTCTATTAATAAAAAAAAAAAAAATCTATAAAAGTTTTATTTTGTCATTACTAAGGAACTAAGAGTCCTTTGTGTGTTATGAGCACTAGATTCCTGCACAGAAAGGCATTCAGATTTAACTCCATATTCAGGAAATGATTGACCTGACGCAGCTTTTGGATTTAAGAAAGTGAGGAAAAGGAATGTTATTCTTCCTGAATGCTGCTATACTGCAGCAACAAACATAAGAAACATACCAGCCCTAGAGGCATTTTGCTCTCTGCTCAGGGTGAATAAATCCAAGCAAGCTGAGCCTGAAGATCTGCCACCCTAGTTGGATTTATGTCACCATTTATGGTAGCAACAGTCTTCACTGTGACTCCTTCCTGAAGGCTACAAGCATGGGAATTGCAAGCCTTTAAACAATTTCTGTATGACAAACAAGGAAGGATCCTTGTCATATGGTTAGCGCTTAAAAGACAGAGGGGAAACATGAAGGACTAAAGTGAAACATGGGACACTACTAAAGGAGCTTGTAAGCAGTTTTAATTTCTCAGATCAGTAACTCCCTCTCAGACTTGGTCTTGAAGAGCCTGGCAAGAGTAACAATGCAAAAAGCAGATGGGAAAGCATTCTCTGGGACATCTCTAACATCCCTTCTCACTAGTTTCAAGACTTCTTTATGACTCAAAGCAGAACCACACTAAAAGCTACACAGCTAATGCTGCATATCCCTAGATACAGCCTGTTCTGAGGTAATGCAAGCAACTGAGGACTTGGGAAAATGATCCTCAGAGGAAGAACAAAATCCCAGAAGAAAAATTCATGTAATCAGAAAATGGCAGGTAAATGAATTCTAGAAGAAAGGTGATTTGAGACAATACAATTTCTTACAACCGTCACCTCTCACTCTGCTCCAATCTCAAACAAATGCTGGAAAATTAAATGCTAAAATAAGTAGACTGCATGTGTATCAGTGTACACAGCACATGACAGAAATAGGGACTCTGTACATGTCCTATAACTACTGATGAAACAAAAAGTTCCCCATCTCTAGTACTACACCAAATATGTAGTTTATGTGTATTAATTAAAAAAACCCAAAAAAGTGTATTAATAATGTTTATGTATGTCACAGATTTATAAAGAAGAGGCAGTGCTAGCGAACAGGCAAAGTTACACCAGAAAACCTGGGCAACATAGAGACAAGGAAATGAAGCAACTAATGAATCTCCTATGGATCACTGTTGCGTTCCTGAACTGAAATGTTCTGCTGGGTAGGAAGTAACACACCAGCACTCCCCCCCCACAAACAAACAAACAAAAAATCCCACCCAAACACATTTTAATCTAACTTTTCCCCCCACTAAAAATGCATTTGGACAATCACTAGAAAAGAACAGTAAACTAAAAACATTTGGACTTCACGTCAGTTACATTTTAGTTTTACACTTAGTTATTACCTGTATTATACCAAGCTAACAGGAAGTCAAATTCTAAAGGTTTCTTTTCTTTCAAGGCCCAAAGCACTCTGTTATGTTTCTTGCTATCAGGGTGAAAGCCAGAATCAGTCAAGTCAATGGTTATAACTGCAAAAATGTACAAAAGCAACAATTACTGAATTGAAATAAATTTTAATACTAAATTCATTAAGAACTGAAAGAACACAAAGAAACCAAAGAACATTTCAAAGATGCTGTATATGTGAAAAGGAAGTTAAAATATTTGATTATGCAAATATGACTCTCCGTTATGTAAATAAATATTCACCTCCTGCTGTTCTTATTTTGACATAGTCTGGAACTGCCTTCTAGTGACTGGAAGGACAGATTCCTTTTGTAATGGCAGTGACAGAAGTCCAAAAACATCACCTAGAAATATCTTGGTAATTAGGCAAGCTATTGGCACTGAAAAAGCTACAGTTTCTAACATCAAAAGCCACATATGGCAATGACACTTTTTCAGCTGTTTTCTTCTAGGTGAATTGGTCCCAGGCTAAAAGTTACATTTATTTTTCAGATGGAAATGTCATCATACATTTTACTTGACAAACCAAATAGTAAAATGACATCCCATTTTGCCAAAATTCTTATTATAGATAACAAGTTTCCCCTTCTAAAGTTTTTATGTAACTACCTATCAACTACTGCAGATTCTAATACATAGTGTTCATGGGGTTAATTATTAAAAAAAAATTAACAAAACTCACTCAGTATGTCTCCTCTGCAGCTGTTAAAAAATTACAGCATTTTCCAAGTACTTGGTATATGGAGACTACCCTTTTAAATGTGTCAAATGTAATACAATTCTCCCTTTCAAGCAAGCAGTCTTGGGTGAGGCTCTTCACTGTTTTATGTTTGTTTGCTTTTTTGTATAGTGTGCAAATTTTAAGCTCTACCTTAATTAGTGTTTTTTCCAATTTAAATCAGAAGGCATAGAAACTGTGCACAGTATACAAAAATTCTTGAATCCTACATCACTCTAGTATAAAAAACATAATGAAAAACTAAGAAATTAAAAATCATACCAAAAGAACACGGATTTGTTTCCTTATAACTGCTTTATTATTTGGAAAAAGTATTTTTTGTCCTTAAGCAGCCCTTGTATCTGCATCTGGAGAAATATGATCTAGACAATAACCAATTTTAAAGAAAGGGAAGTTTCAGCATTGCTGGTTTAACATCCTAACAAGGAGCTTCACAGACAGATCTGAAATAATCACTGTTAATATAAACAATACTTACTATATCTCATTACTTTTTTGCCAGAATACTGTGAAGGGCGGCCTTGCAGTCCAAGTTCCTCATAAGTATCCTTATCCACTGACAGAATTAGTTTTCCTATAAACAAAACAAACTTTAATACAAATAATCTTCTACTTTGTTCCCTTTGAAGTCTTCTGAGAACCATATACCTTATACAACGTCAGCTCTGGATCAATGATATTATTAATGTAATCCAGACTCCTTCGTTCCAGTTAAATGGATTACCAGATTAACCCTTAAAAAAAGTTGTAACTCAATTACTCTTTTTTATAAAAGAAGTCTTATGAACTAGAATAAGTGTAATACCATTCTTGAGATAGTCATAGCTTTTTTACTGTACTACCTCACTGCATTGCCCCAATCTTTCCTCCACTGGTCCATTAGCATTTGCTGTGGCATTGGTTGAACACATTACAGTAGGGCCTTAGTAAACAGTCATGAATGCACTGCTCAACTAAACATACAAAAGCAGTTCCTCCAACTCTGGTGGGACTACTTACATTGAGTAAACTATGCTTATTAGTGATGAGCAGATATGCACTGGAACAACTCCACTTCCACATTCATCAACCAAATCTGGCAGCTGCCACTTGGTACAGAATTTCACACAACAGATCTCTACTACAGTCTTTTGATTCTGCTGTACAAGTAACGGTATAATACAGAATACAAACAAGTAAGGCTGCTGCTGAAGACTTCAGATAGTGACATCACCAGAAACTGTAACAACTGTCTCTGCATTAATCGTGCATAGCTTGTAATAAAGGTATCGTACAAACTCAATCACTATCAAGTATCCATTTTGCTAGGACTGTGCTAACAGAGCAGATAAAAGAACTCTTCCTCTGAAGAATTTGAATTTACTTATCCCTGATGGGGACCTGTCATATTATAGCATCTTGGGTGAGAGGGCTGATAGACCAATTTATGGAAATAAGACAACATATCTGAAGCCCAAAATAGCTTCATTATTTTCTCTGCGTGTAAAATCCCACCCGAGATGGAACGTTTTGTCATAAAACTGTGATGGACTGCAACAGGGTATTTTAACGTGTCACGTAATTGTCGAAGAATAAACACTGAATATTTAAAAAGTGTTCCTAAGCAGTGCTGATAATTTGGGGGTTTTGGGTATAAAATCTGTCTTTAAGACCAGAAGGAAACAAGAGTTGGAATGCAATCTTTTCACAAAAATAATCCTCTGTAGCAATTGCAGTTACAATTGAAGGACTGACAATCCGATATTATACATAAGTGAAGCTGATTTTTTAAAAAAATTTCCTTTAGATGAAATAATTTAACAGCATGAATGAAAAAAATAAGTTATATTTCTAATAAAGTTGTCAAGTACAGTAAGCATTAAATTTTCCAGTTTACATCATTCCAAATGAAAAAAAAAACCAAACAAACCCCAAACCCACCCCTAAGACCATAATCAGTGTGTATGTATTACTAAAACCAAAACAGAACATACCATTTGGTAGCAGAGCTGCAGTATTATCTTGATCAATTTTTGTGTTATAGGTAAGTGCGTAGCATGAACCTTTAATAGCAAAGCAGAAAGCCATGAGATTACAGAGTCTCTAAAGACAGACATGGCAATATCAAAGATTCACCTCAAGATAATCAAGCACGTCAAATACCATTTGAATCACTCTAAACCCTTGTGTTTTCATCAACTAACTTTCTTCCACCTTCTCAAGCGAAATAGCATTGTGTTGTTATTTTTATAAACCTTGGAGTGGCACTATTTTAAAGGACCTGTAATACAGATAACATTAACAATATGCCCCAATATGAAAACACTTTCTTTCCACCTGCAACCTTCCCCACGCAACAAATGGAAAACCTCATGTTTTCCCAGACACATTTCTATTATTAGTTCACATGAAGACAAGGTGGAAGATGCTCACGTTACTAAATACATTTTGTATTTGTATTATCTGCCACAAACAATTTTGTACTTAAAAATACAAGAGTCAGATCCTGTAAACTTAGTGTACAAATGTCATACTGCTTCCATAAAACTACTGGCATAAGAGCCATTAATGAGACTAAAGGAAATATGAAAAAGAGTCCCACATTTAGAAAGTAATGGATCTCATTCTTCCGTTTCACCCACATGTTCTCTTTTCTCCTCTCTTTTCCCATGAAAGCTTTTTTTCCTCCCTGACAATCATGTGAAGGGCACAAGATTTATCATGAGCCAAGTAAGCGGGGCCTGCTCCATGAAAACAGCATGCTCTGAGTATGCAATAGTGAGTTTGCTGGGCAGACGCTGCATCTTTATTCACATCCTCTTTGCTCTTATTGTGTAAGGACGAGCCACCACAGCTCCACTAGCACAAAAAAACCCCAAACAAAAACAAACAAACAAAACCACCAAAAAACACACCACCACCACCCCAAAAAGCATATTTTTTCCTCTTTCTCTTGCCTGCTGTGGAACACAGCTAACACAGCTCTGTGTTGAAATATGAAGGAACTGGAAAGAGAAAAGGGATTTCTTGCTGATTTCTGCAGGAATCTGCATAAAGATGAGATGTAGAAGATAAACAGGTATGAGGATACATGGAAGCCCTCTTGACAGCTGGCTTGCAGAATTAAGAAGGAATAGGGAGAAATTAAGACGGAACAGTTAGAGAAGTTTTGGAACCATTGGGTGTAAACAAACACTGACACACCACAAAGCAGAAAAAAGTAGATAAATAAATTAATACAGAATTTTCTTAGCATTTTTCTTCCCTTCCTTTAAAATACTTTTCAGAATAAATAATAATAAATGGATTTTACTGTGTTACGAAAAAAATACACTATTACTGCATCTGTCATGTTCTGATTAACTCCTTACCTTTCTTCACAAAAGCGTCAATGAATTCATGAGCGACCAATTCGTGAACTGATAAATTCCTCACCAGGTAGTACTCTCCAACATCTGCAATAGTATTTTTCAGCACTTCAGGTAGTATGCCACATTCAGGGATCAAAAAAGACACCTATTAGGAACATATTTGTAATGTAAATCATATCCTAAAATCTGTTCTGGAAGACAACCAAGAAATTAAAATAAGCAAAATTGTTCTTTTCAAAGAAATCAGTATGTTACACCAAAATGAGATGGAAAAAAATAATTTCAAGCTATTGTCTTCAAAATGTACAAATTTGCAAAAAGTTTCCAAGTATAGATATATAATAGCATTTGAGGTGTTACATAAAGACATGATTTTACACAGCATGACTTAACTAAAGATCTTGTTTCATTGTCATTATAAATTTACCTGGAAATTGCACTGGAACATTTCCTTCAGCCCTTGCTATAGGAAGCAGTTATAACTAAAATGTAGGCTAAGCAATTATGTAATTACAGTGGAAATGCAAAGACCAAAGTAGAATTTAAACTAGTTTTTGAATCAATGCATTCTCCTCTGTAGAGTATTTTAGAGATCAGAAGAGTGAACGGACCATCAGAACAAAACTTGAAGACGGGCTTACGATTTTCAAAAAGGTCAAAAGGTACACATTAAGGCTACAACTTCTGTAGCAGGTTTATAATTTAAGGTTTTCAAAAAGGTTTATTTTCAAAAGGGACGAGCAACTAGCTTTTCTTACTAAACTCAACATTCAGTCTTTTGGTCCAATTGCCTACCTTTCATCTCCCTTTTGTTTAAAAACTTTCATATACGCGTTTCATAGATCACGAGAACTCTTTAGTCGGGGAGACCAGCACAAATGAGGTTATTACATGGAGAAGTACCAAGCTTCCCAATAACCATGCACAAGCAGCATAAACGTTCACCCCCCTGCTCCTTACCACTCCACCCCTCAAAAAAACCTTTTTCCCGAAACAAAGGAGCTCACAGGGAACAGGTATAGATCTCCCTTTGCACAAGGGGAAGTAAAGAGAAGTAAACTGACAGATGGGCTGCCTGCCACACGAGTATAAGGCTTTCCAGCTAGCTGTTAAAAAAATTACTATGGAAATAGCAAGAGTGCCTGCCTGACACTTGGAACAGGCAAAGAAAGGAGAGCAAGCTGGCAAAAACCAGCCTTCACAATGTTAAGTTGTCCAAAACAACGAAGCAGTGGTTGATGACGGCATGACACGATAGTCTGGCAGAAAGCTGGACAACATGAAAAAGGCTACTTTCGGGGTACGCCTGCAGCCAGGCTTCAGCTGAAACCTCCCTCACCGCTGAGGGACTCCCTCAGTCCCTCACTGCTTGGACTAGGAATTTGTGGGTGTCGCTCCCTGCGTTACTTGCCAGATAGCACTGACAAGACATTGTCACCTCTTCCACTGGGTCACCCCTCTTCTCTTCTACCTTGTGTCCACACGGCCTTTCGTTCTTTGAGGTGCCACACGCTACGCAAGACCGCCAAGCCAACAGGGGCTACTTTTCCCCCACCCCCCCAAAAGATGCGTGCAGCCCAGCTCTGACAAGGATGGAGGAACCTTCCAGAAAACAGCCTGGCACGAGGTGGAGCGCCAGCAAAGCGCCCTTTGAACGGCTGACAGGCAGAACCACCGGGACCTTCTGCCCGCGCTGAGGGGATGCTTTGGTCTCACCGGGGCGCCGCGGAATCT